GAGAGAGAGAGAGAGAGAGAGAGAGAGAGAGAGAGAGAGAGAGAGAGAGCGCGCAGTCCCTTTTAGCCACAGCACGCCCAAAGTTTTGGTTGCACAGGCTAGGGATGTGACAAAATTCCAGGACCGGAGGCAGGTTTGGCCTCTTAACCTCATCCAGAGATTTTTCCTTTTGCGGCAGTTCTTTGGCGACCAGCCCTGAGCCCTGGGAAGCCGCGCACGCGTTCTGCGCAGGCGCCCTGGAGCTGATTCGCTGGCGCCCAGGGCTTTCTCGCGCGCATGAGCAATTCGAAATTGCCGGGCCCGGAAGCGTTGCGCAGGCGCACTTGGCCGAGTCGCTCGCCGCGGCGCTCTCTGAGGTGGGGGCTAAAGGCGTCCGGGGAGCTACGGAAGTCGTACACCCTTGAACTGTGAGTTTCCGGCGGTTCGTTCCATGGCGCGGGATTGTGAAGTATTAGGAACGAATTCTGAATGGAGACTTCAGTTTTGTTGCGATGGAGATTATCCATTTCCCCGTCCCTCCAGTTCAGAACCCGCCGCCCTCCGGCGGGAAAGTCGCGCGCCTGCGCACCAAGCACCCGGGCCGGCGGGTCCGCGGGCGGAAAGCCCTGTGAGGGCCCGCGCTTGCTGAAGCCCAGCGACCATTAGTTCCCCGCTCTTCCTCCGCCTCGCGCCCGTGGTGGCCAGAACTGTTCCAGTTTGTGTGGGGCTTTGGACTAGTCTCCTGGCCTTGAGCCTCCTGGCTCTTTGGGTGGTCAGCGGGCAGTGAGCGCCTGCCTCAGCCCTCCCCCAGGGCGCCTCCTCTCCCCGCAGCCAGCAGGCGCGGGGGCTGGCTGCCCCCGGCGGCCCCAGAAGCAGACCTTTGCACCGCCGCCAGCTGCGCTGAGGCTCCCCTGCTGGGAAGCGCTCCCTGTGGCCCCCTGCTGGTTTATCTGGAAGGTGAAAAATTCAAATGGAGTTCCTTAGGGCCGGCCGGCTTCTCTTTGGGGTTTGGGCATATGGTGCATTTTTTGTTTGCCCTTTTGAGAGCAGTGGCATTATGTAGAGCTCGGCTCAGTGAGTGATTAAACTTAACCTTCTCCAGTGTTCGAATTTTGACAGCTGCGTGGCTCCCCCTGTGGACATAACCCCTTCTTGACATTTTGCATCCCAGCTTTTTGTGATGGAGGCGTCTTTGGGGATTCAGATGGACGAGCCCATGGCCTTTTCTCCACTCTGCGACCAGTTTCAGGCTGATGATTCTTTAAAAAAATATGAGCACAATTTTAAGCTTTCAGGTATGTGTTCACTTCCCAACATGTACAATTTTAAAGATAAGCAGGTAGCCATTCTGTATTTTCAAATGCTTTAAATAAATTGAAAAGGTGAACTGCATGTTTATATAGCAAGGAGTGTTTTACAGGTATGTAAAGATCTAGATGTAAGATTTTAGGAGAACTGTAATCCAGTCTTACATTTTACAGGTAAATAAGTATTTGTAGCTAAGAAAACCTAAGTTTTATGGTGCTCAAACTAGAATTTGTCCTTTTTTTTTTTTTTTTTTTTTTTCCAGAACCGGGGTTTGAACTCAGGCCCTTGCGCATGCCAGGGAAGCGCTTATTCCACTGAGCCATCTCCCCAGCCCAAATTTGTCCTTTCATAGAGTTACTCTTGTCACTATACTAGGTTAAGTGTGCTTTTAGAAATTGACAATTTTTCAAAAGCAGAATTTGACAAAAATGTAATGTTTGTAGCAGTGACAAAGCATGGTCATATACTATATAAGTGCAGTTCGTCAGTGTGTGACCATAGCACAGAGCTACACTAAAAGGTGTACCTTCATTGCTTCTCTATCGTAGTGTCTGGTACATAGGGAGCATTTAATAAGTATTTTTTAAATGGAAGAATTCCAGCTGACTGCTTTCTTTTCCCCTAAAATGTAGTTTAATCTTTTCCACCTTTGCCCCAAGCAAATATAATGATTCTTCAGAAGATCCTAGTTTTGACCTTGGTTTGTGATCTGTGGTTTATATGTACACTGCAAAAGACCTGAACGCCTCTGAAACAAATACGACATCACATACTTTTGCTTTCTGAACAAAACTAAACTCAGGGTTAAATTGGGTGCCTTTCTCAGTGTCCCCGTTTTTGGTGATGAAAGCCACCGTTATGAAAGCCACCGTTATTTCAAAATTTACATTGTTTTGATTGATGTGTTGCGTTTGCGCCCTCTATCCAGTCACCAGCTCAGCTTCCTTTTACTAGCTATGCTGTTGCTTCTTTACATCCCTTTCTACTGCATTGACTCCCATACACTTTGTTCTTGCATTGCAATCAAGTCTTTTACCTTCTATGTCTGTCTCAATTTCCATTTCATTTACAACGCTGCTACTAGATTAACCTTCAAATACCAGTTTTATCCAGTTTCATGGACGCTGCCTCTTTTCCCTTTCAGTCTTCTTCCAATTACCTGTTTTTCACTGTTTAGCTTTTCTTTATTAGTCACTGGACACACAGTACAATAATGTAGTTACTATTTTATTGTTTAGCACTCTGTATTTTGTCTCTGGTTTGTGATATATGTTGTATATTATTAACTAGAGTGTGTTAATGGATCAGTCTGATTTGGTTTTAGCATAACATTCAGGACAATGCTGTTCCTCTAATATTCTGAAAATCCACTGGGAAATAAAAAGAGTCAAGTGAATTTTATTTTCAATTTTGAAAGTTTGTAGCCATTCACATAACCCAGCATTGGACAACTTTATAAATAATGCCTGTGATAATATATAAAACATGCTGAAACATTACCCATATGGTTCTTTTACATATGACCCTTAATAAAAACTATATCAAAAACATAGCTTCAATAAAGAGTAAAGCTGATGAGGTCCAGGCACATAGCTGTCTTTTGATCTGATTGAGAAAGGAAATAGACTAGATCAAGAGACAGTTGTGTGCCTGGACCTCATCAGCTTTATTCCTTATTGAAGTTATGTTTTTGATCAGATAGTAGAATTTTTTTATGTGTCTTTGCATTCCCAAAACCATAGAGGGTCCAGCACATAGTAGGTGCTTGAAATCAATGAAAGACAATGAGAGGATATATGGTACTTAGCGTAATGGATATAGAGCAAAGCCCTTTGGGAAAGATAGATCCTAACCTGTTATTTGATTTCCAGCTCTTGTTCTTCCTTCCCTTCAAGTCCGTGTTCTGTTTCTCATTTTTGTGCTTAATAACTTTTCATAGCTTTCACTTGTGTTCTGCTTTTCCTTTCCTCGGCTACATTGTATTTTCTTATGTCCCTTCGTCTTTTCCCTACTCTTTTATACCTGTTCTCTTTCAGCATTTTTACATACATACTTGTTTTTTCCTGTCTTCTTCCATTTTTGCCATCTGATGAATGCTTCAGAACTTGTCATCTGAAGGCTTCCTGGCATCTTTAGAAGTATTTATCTTCCCCAACTCTGTGTCTCCTGTAGCTAGTAGTATATGCATTCTTTGCTGACAGTTATCATTATATTAAGAATAGTAACATCTGTCTCCTTTGCTAGACTAAATCATAGAAATAGTAGCTGCACCTGTTTTATCATTTTTCAAATATACCCATGGCCAAGCATTTGTAAAAACTGTTGAATGAATAACACCATAGACATCATTTATACCTCTGTGAAATTGGGCAAGAGATTTAACTTCTATGAATAGGATATCCTTGTCTGGAAAATAAGGATTTTAATTCCTATTCTACCAATCATAGTGCTGTTATGAGTATCTGAAAAGGTAACATAATTAAAAGTATTTTAAAATGTCTTAAACTGTTATACTGTGCTGAGTATTATAGTACCTTTAAGTAGCTTATGCTTGGCTTAATGTTATCTCAAGATTTTTGTAGCTACTTTTTATATCCAGTTATTAGATTTTATATTATTGTCTGCACTATTTTAACCATGTATGTTTTCATAGAGTTTAAATTCATTTAAAAGTAGCAATTTTGGGGCCGCAGAGATAGCTCAGTGGTCTAAGCACCTGCCCAGCCAAGTGCAAGGACCCGGGTTTGATCCCTGGTACTACATGTGGTGCTGTCCCTGCCCTGAGTGCACCGAGCTGGCCACCCAGACCAGGCGTGGTGGCACATGTCTGTAATCCCAGTGCTAGTGAGGCTGGAACAGGAGGATCACTATGAGTCCAAGCTATGTAGTGAGACCCTGTACCAAATACATAAAATTTTTTTTAAAAAGTAGCAGTTTTTCTGCTGTCCAAGTAAAAAATGCTACTGTTATTTGGGACAAATTATTAAAAAAATTTTTATATGCCCAGAGCTTTACCGGTCCTTCTCTTGAGGGATATACAGTGAATGTTCAATGCATAATACTTTTCCAAACTTCAAGATTCTATGTGTTTGAAGAAGAAAGTAGTTTTGATGAACATAGCATTGTGTCTTATTATGCCATCTATTGACCACAACATAAATTTACTTTTAGGTTTTATTTTAGGTTTTCTTTGTTTTATGTTTAGTTTTTTTGTGTTTGCTTTTAAGAGACAGGATGTCACTATGTTGCCCAGGGTAGTCCTGAACTCCTGTGTTCAAGTAATCCTCCCGCCTCAGCCTCCTGAGTAGCTGGGACTACAGGCAGGGACCATTGTATCCAGTTTTACTTTTTAATTTTAACTTCTTCATTTTAAAAACCAAATTCCAGTGTAGTAGATATGTTGTATGTGTAATTCTGGGCATCAACTCTTTGTGAGTTAAAATAGGTAATATCAGTCAAAGCACCTTATAAAGTTTTAATTATTCTTATAACTTTTACTAAGACTTTTTTACTTAGAATTACTTGGGTTAGAATTTAGTTCATTGAATTTTTAATTTTAGAAACTGTAAAGTATGTCTTATTGACTGTCATGGTAAACTTTTTTTTCCTTGATAGGTGTTAAAAAGGACATTGAGAAACTTTATGAAGCTGTACCACAGCTTGGTAGTGTGTTTAAAATTAAGGACAAAATTGGAGAAGGTAATTTGGGGATATACTTTTAGTATCTTCATGAGTTTTTTGTTTATATTTTCCTTATATAATCTTTATTTTCATTATTTATTGATCCTACTTTTAAAACTATTAAGACCATGAGAGTAGTGTAAGTTATTCCAGTGCTTTTTCCCCCTGGAAGTAAAGAAAGTATAAATAATAAATATTTACAGCAAAGCAAATGGTTCTGTTTTAACCTATTACGCCATTAAAATAGTTTGATCTGTTTAGCATTGTTTCATTAAAACTTTTAAAAGTCAAATATTAAAGATTCTAATAAATTATATTATAGGCACTTTCAGCTCAGTCTATTTGGCCACAGCACAGTTACAAGTAGGACCTGAAGAAAAAATTGCTCTCAAACACTTAATTCCAACAAGTCATCCTGTAAGAATTGCAGCTGAACTCCAGTGTCTCACAGTGGCTGGGTAGGTGATTCAAAGGTATTTTAATTGAACTGGCTACTTATACTGTGTAGTGTTTTAAGGTAGGTGCTAATCAGAATGATCAGATTGTATATAGACTATATCTCTTAGTTGTTCGCAGGTTGTTAGTACTTTGCCTCTAACCTTACAATAGTTAACTTACCATTTTTTTAGAAAGCATCTCCCTTGAGGCCCAGCTTGATTTTCTGATCTTGTGTCACTGTTTTGTAACCTTCCTGCCAAGTCAAAAACCTGTCTTCCTGGCCTGGATATTTTGTATACGTGAGAAACTCAGTTTTAACATCTCCATAACTATTGACCGCCTTAGCTCAATTTATTTTATTTATTTATTTAATGTATTTGATACAGGGTCTCGCTACTCAGCTTGGACTTGTAGTGGCTTCTGTCTCAGCCTCCCCAGCACTGGGATTATAGGCATATGCCACCACACCCAATTTCAGTGGCCAGCACAGCGCACCCAGGGTTCTGGGGCCTTCATGGCATGCAGTACTGGAGATCAAACCCAGGTCATTTTGCTTGCCAGGAAGGCACTTAGACTACTGAGCTATCTTCCCAGTCCTTTCTGTATACTTTCATGAGATCAACTTTGTTAGCTTCCATATATGAGGGAACCATGCAATATTTATTTGTCTTTCTGTGCCTAGCTTACGTCACTTAATGTAATGTATTCTAGTTCCATCTATGTTACTGCAAAAGACAGTATTTCTTTTTTTTTTTTTTTTTTGTAGTTAGTACAGGATCTACAGGTTTCACTACACAGATTGGACTCACAGTGATACTCCTGTTTTCAGCCTCCCAAATCCTGGGATTACAGGCGCATGCACCACACTCAGTCTCAGTCACCCTCTTAGCACGCCCCAGGGGCGCACACAGGGGATCGAACCCTGGTCCTTTTGTCTACCTAAGCAGGCACTTTAATCTGCTGAACTATCTGGCTGGCCCTCAGTATTTCTTTTTATGACCAAATAAGAGATAAGGGTAAGTTTTGGGAGGAAGGGGGATTGAACCCAGGGAGAGCTGAACTATTCCCCATGGTCCCCTTTAAGTTTTTTAGCAGGATTTCATTAAGTGGCCGGGCTGGCCTTGGCCTTACAATCCCCCTGCCTCAGGCTTCTCAGTAGCTGAGATTAGGAGTGTGCCATCATATCCAGGAAAGGTAGATTTCATACTCATGGTTTGAGAATTGATTGAGAATTTTGAACATTTTTCATATATTGTTGGCCAGTTGCACATAGTATCTTCTTTTGGGAAATGTCTATTCAGATTATTTGCCCTTTTTTTGGTATCAGGACTCGAACTCAGGACCTTGGCTTGCCAGGCAGGCGCTACATCACTGAGCTATATCCCTGGCTTATTTGCCTATTTTTAACCAGTATTGGGGTTTTTGTTTTTCTATTTTTCTGAGTTTCTTATATTTTTGTGGAACCTAATTCCTTATTGGATTAAGTTTGCAAATATTTTATTTTCAGATTTCCTCTTCACTCTTCATAGGTTAGTATAATCTCATTTGTCCTTTTTACTTTCATTTCCTCCACTTAATCCAATTTGAGGGTTTTTTTGTGTATTTTCTTTGTTCTTTGTGTAGAATCTAGTTTTTCCAGCACCAATTATTGGAGAGACTGTCCTTTCTTCAGAATATACTTTTCTCCAGAGTGTGTATGTCCTTTCTCTAGAGTCTCTTTTGTTGAAGGCCAGTTGACTGTAGATGTATGGATTTATTGCTAGTTTCCCTCTGTTTTATTGGTTATCTGTTAGTTGCTATACCAGCACCACACTGTTTTGTTTGCTGTATAGCATTATAGTATGTTTTCAGGCCAGATATTCTGATGCTTCCAGATTTGTTCTTTTGCTCAAGATTGCTTTGGCTATTTGGAGTTTATCTTTACATAAGAATTTTAGGATTGTTTTTTCTTGTTCTGTGAAGAATGTCATTGGTATTTTGTTATGCAATGTGTTAAATCTGTAGATCATTTAGAACACTATCAACATTTTAACAATATTAATTTTTTCCAAACCACGAGAATGAAATCAATCTTCTTGGACATTGTGGCATACTCCTAATCTCAGCTACTCAGAAGCCTGAGGCAGGGGGATTGTAAGGTCAAGACCAGCCCGGCCACTTAACAAAACCCTGCTAAAAAAACTTGAAAGGTCATGGGGAATTATTCAGCTCTCCCTGAGTTCATTCCCTTTTCCTCTCAAAAACTCACCCTTATCTCTTACCAATCTTCCCACTTCCCTGTGTTCTAATTTCTTTAGCTTCTCTAATTTTCCTGAAGAGCTTTCTTGTTTCAGGATCATTGCTCAACCTTTTCGACTTCAGGAAGATTTCTGCTAGTTTTCACTTGGTGACTGTTTACTGTCTTGATAAAAGCAAGAGTGACAACTGCTTCAGAAAGTCTTCTGTGAATTAAATTGGACTCTGAAATTTTTTAAAATTGTCACACACCTTTTGGTTTCTTTGAAAATCCTTAGCATGATTTGTGTCTTACTTTACTTGTTGGTGAGATAAAATACCCAACTCACAAAGTTAGAGGCTCAGTTTATAGGGATTTTAGTCCATATGTCTTAGTTACTATTCTCATTGCTGAAATAAAATGCCCAATACTCAAAGTTAAAGAGGAAGAATTTCTTTAGCTCACAATTTGTGAAGATTTTTCAGTCCATAGTTGATTTGTTCTAAGGCAGGGTGGCACATGGCAGGGGGGCAATACTCCATGGTGGTGGAAGACAGCAGAAGCAAGCAAGAGCACGAGATAAGCCTTTGTGTCCTTTATATTGTACTCTGTCTATCAGGACAAGGACCAGTCCAGTCAGTGGACTGATTCAGCAATCACCCCCCTTTATTCCCAGCATGATATTCTGAATCAATCAGTACAGTCACCTCCAAAAATACTCTGACTGTGTGGAGGCTTTGGGGAACATCTAGACACAAACCATAACAACACAGTTGGCTAGCTGTAGGGCAGGGTGGCATAGCAGGGTCATCACAGAGGAAAAGCAGTACATGGCAAACGGGCAGGTGAGAACGGGCAAGGGACCTTACCAGCTTCATTCTGCCCCTTTTATATTCCATCTTGGCTCACAGGATTAGGGTGGTGCCAAACCAGTCAGTGCACTGATTTCTAGATCCAACCATCTCTGGAAAACCCTTACCTATCACTGAATGAGCTTTGGGAGATATCTAGGCATGAGTCATAACAGTCTGTCATTATTATTTTGTTTTTCTGTATTGTCTGCTAAATAAACTCCACAGAATAAAAGGACAGAAATTGTGTTAATATTATTTACTGTTGAATTGATGATGTTTAACACTGTCTAGCAAACACCAGTGCCTACTAAGTATTTATTGAATGAATAAATGAACATACTTGTTTCACTCTTTGTTATAAAATCCAAGAAGATATGGCTTCTGTAAGACATGATTATATACATTCTAGTCCCTTCATTAAGATCATTTCTTTTTTTCTATACTACTTCATATCCATTTACCACTTCCTTTTTCTTTGAGTTTTAAAAAGTACGCACTAAGAATGTCTTCATATGCTCTTACGGTGCAGTGAGGCAAATTGTCTTTGTGCTCTACTTCCACGCTATCCAATTTTCCTTCCTTAACTGTTTTCCCTCTTCCTTTATATCTATATTGCTCTCTGAAAAATTTAATTCTTCATTGTAAAAGTGAAAGGCTTCCCTCAGTTCTTACTGTCATACCTGATGATCCCTTCCTCCAAAACTCCTTTTTGTCATCCCTTCCTCACTTTGCTTTCCAATTTAGAGACTTTATTCTGAGGTTCAATTTTCCTTGTATTCATGTTCACAAAGTTAGATATCACTTTGTAAGTATGTTGCTCTCATTTCTTCCTGTCTTCCACTGTCATATCTTAGTATATCAAAATGATAAGCTCTTAATTTTAGATGCTGCTTTGCTTGATTTTTCAACTTGGATTGTTGATACTCACATTGTTTACTCAGGGTCCAAATCATGAGAATTGCTGGGAAGATAGCTCAGTGGTCTAAGCGCCTGCCTGCCAAGCACAAAGACCCGAGTTCAATCCCCAGCACCACATGCCGTGCTGGCCCTGCACCATGCTAGTCACTGAAACTAGGCATGGTGGTGCACGTCTGTAATCCCAGCACCAGGGAGGCTGAAATGGGAGGATCACTGCTGCATCAGGAGACCCTGTACCAAATAAATAAATGAAAGAACGAACGAACAGATGAATAAAAGAAAGAGAAAGGATTAAAAACATCATTAGAATCAACTTTCTCCTCTGTCCTCGACTTTCATGAAGCAGTGTAGCATAGTAATTAAGAATGTAAATCTGGAGCAAACTGCTGGGATTCAGAGATGGCTTCATGACAATACTTGATGATCTGGGGAAGGAAGTTCCTTAATCTCCCCATCCTTCATTTTCCTTTTCTGTTAAAAAAAGCAGGGAAGCAGTAATACCGCTTTCTTTTGATGATTGTTATACACTGGTACCTTGGTTCACTAACTTTGTTCTTGATTTTGGAAAAGATGGCTTCATTTGTGTTCATGTGGGAAAGATGGCCATTGTCATGTTTGTCCCCTGTTGCAGAGTTTGCAAACAGAAACAAAATTTTGCCAAGTGCTTCTGTCTGTAAACCAGAATTTTTGCAAACAAATTCCTGCACCAAGTCACTGTAAAGATAACGTTTATTAATAGATATAAAGTCCTTAGATCTGAGCCTGGTATATAGTGAATATTCAGTAAACCTGTTATTTTAAAAAGTGATTTATTATATTTACTAAATCTGCCATTGAGTCTGTTAACTCTGTCTTGTATGTCTTTTTTTTTTTTTTTTTTTTTTTTGGCATACTTTTTTTTTTTGCGTAACCAGAGATCGAACTCAGGCCCTTGCGCTTGCCAGGGAAGTGCTTATTCCACTGAGCCATCTCCCCAGCCCCTTGTATATATTTTTCATTCTGCCCACTTCCCAGTTAAAACTGTAATTATCTTGTATTGATTTATTATACTAACTTTGTAACTATTATTACTTTTTTCTTAGAATCTTATGTTTTGTACATAAGATTAGTGAAATGTTTACATTATCTTATGTGATTTTAAGTCAGATTTCGAGCAGTATGTATGCATTGCTAAAATTACACTTTTTAAAAAATATAGTATAAAGTTCTAGTTCATTTGACCTTCCTCTAAAGTTCAGTATACATTTTTCCACCAGGGGGCAAGACAATGTCATGGGAGTTAAATACTGCTTTAGGAAACATGATCATGTGGTCATTGCTATGCCATACCTGGAGCATGAGTCTTTTTTGGTAGGTTTTAATATTTCTTGAATTTTAATTAGCCGAAACACATGATTGAAAAAATTTTATGACCTCATTCATAACTTTATTTTAGGACATTTTGAATTCTCTTTCCTTTCAAGAAGTACGGGAATATATGTTTAATCTTTTCAAAGCTTTGAAACGCATTCATCAGTTCGGCATTGTTCACCGTGATGTTAAACCCAGTAACTTCTTATATAACAGACGCCTAAAAAAGTAAGTATGAAGAATTCCCAGAAAATACTTAAACTGATCTATTTGGGTTTTGTGTTTTTTTTTTTGTTTTTAAACTGGTTTATTTGTACCATGGGATCTCTCTGCAGTGGCTTTGTACAAATTGTTTTTGTTTAAAATTTTTTATTGTGATTGAGGGAAAGAAATGCATGATGAATATAAAATTGCATCAGTAGAGTAACATACATCATTAGATGTAATAAGATTCAATAGAAATAAGCACTTTGCTAAAAGAAAAATTCAGAAGGTTTCAGTTCTGTTTGTTTGTTTGTTTGTTTGTTTGGATTTTTTTGGCGGAACTGGGGACTGAACTCAAGCCCTTGCGCTTGCCAGGGAAGTGCTTATTCTGCTGAGCCATCTCCCCGGCTCCGTATTCAGTTCTTTTTGACCTTATATATATCTGAACTCTGGGCTTCATTTTTTCATTTTAGTAAATGAGGGGATTATATGACATGATAGCTAATTTCTTTTTTTACCCCTGAATTCTGATTTTATGTATATTTTGGTGATCATTATAAATGCATTATAAGCTGCAAATAAAATATGGCTACTATATAATAGATTATATTGACTATGGTAAAATTAAAATTAATTTTCAAATATTACAGTGCTTTAATTGTTAAAGATTTATTTTGTCTCCTAGATATGCCTTGGTAGACTTTGGTTTGGCCCAAGGAACCCATGATACAAAAATAGAGCTTCTCAAATTGGTCCAGTCTGAAGCTGAGCAAGAAAGTTGCTCACAAAACAAGTCTCACGTAATCATTGGAAAGAAGATCTCCTTGAGTGGCCCGGCATCTAAGGAGCTGGATCAGCAGTCCACCACAAAACCGTCTGTCAAAAGACCCTACACAAATGCACAAATTCAGATTAAACAAGGAAAAGATGGAAAGGTTCTGTTTATTTTTAAATAACTATCATACTGTTTTGGAAATGTACTCCTTCATCTAACAGGGAATACAATACTAAGATAGTACCTTGTAATTAATCTTTTAAAAATAGTTGAATGTATTCATTTGACTAGATTTTTTTCACTAAGATATGTGCTGAGTTATTGTTTCAAAATGATTTTTTTTACTTTGTTAATTGATAGACTATCATATGTTCTAAAATTACATGGAAAATAATAAATTTTCCCTGCATATTATAAAGTTCAGATTATCATTTTTAAAAGGAATCATTAGTTATAGGGGCAAAATTCTGAAGTGTCTATCTCCATTTTAGCTGCACAGAAAAATGTAGCATCTATGCAGGTGGTTTTGAATTCTTCTAGTTCTATGGAGTATGATAGCATTGCATGGGTGTTAAGAGTTCTGTCTAGACTGTTTTCTCCTTTCACAGAAGTGTTTTGGTGCCTGAGAATGTCTTGGATGCAGCTGTTTTTGTTTCATTTCACTTAACTCTTAAAACTATGGCAGAGTACAGCTGGCAGAAAGTGTTACAGATGTAATCCTTATTTTCCTTGTTTTTGTTGGTATTGTAGGAGGGATCTGTAGGCCTTTCTGCCCAGCGCTCTGTTTTTGGAGAAAGAAATTTCAATATACACAGCTCCATTTCACATGAGAGCCCTGCAGTGAAAGTAAGTAATGTAGCTTAATAGTCCAATGGTCAGTCAGTTATACACTCAAGAGAATGTAGGTAATGACTAGGTTAGGATTTATCAAGCAGGTATAGCTTTGGCAGTGTAATTGCTGTGAGCATTTAATCAAAACTTCTATTTTCTCTAATTTTTTTCCTGAACTTTTCTGGGGGAAATGTTTCATCATTTTTGGTTAGCTATTTTTCTTTTCCTATCAGTTTATTTAAACCGTTAAGACCTTTTCTGACAAGATTGGTGGAATTATAAGCTCCCACACACACCTCACATAGTTCTGACACATATATGATGATAGAAAGATGTTTATAAAGTCAGCAAAATTGCCAGTGGTAGATGATTATAAAGTGGCTTATATCTTGTGACAGCTAGATGATTTGAACAACAAATTAGAACTGATTTTAGCCAATGTAATTGTGCATTTTACAGTTCTGAAATGGAGTTAGACACTAGAACGTAAATTACACCTTTGTAGTGTATCAGCAAAAATTCTATTAAAATATAAGTCAAAAATTTACCAAGTTAATTAGTCAATTTAAATGCAAATTATTTAAAAAACCCAGAAAGATGTTAAAAATTTTAGTAGATAGCTGTTTATTTTTAATCCAGTAGTACATTCAGAAGTTTTAGAGGTTATTCTTCTGCTGCTGCTTTTTACCATACTAACTTTTGAAGGCATCGTGTTATACCATGGAAAGAGAAAATTTAAATTTTCTTTTATAGCTCGTAAAACAGTCAAAGGCTATGGATGTATTATCAAGAAAGTTAGCAGTGAAAAAGAAGCCTGGTTCTACAAAAGTTATGAGTAGTGGTGCAGTAAAGAAAACTGTCAGCTCTTGCCCAGCCAGCCTGACCTGCGACTGCTATGCAACAGATAGAGTTTGCAGTATTTGCCTTTCAAGGTAACCTGTTTTATTGGTGTTATAAAATCTCCAGCTTGCTGCCAGACAAGATTATAAATTGAACTAATCTAGCGGGTGACAGAATAGCAGTGGCTGTGTTGGTCTGCGAACCGCACAGGCTGATACAGGGCGCAAGCCTTGCAGGGCGCATGCCGCTTATCACGTTATTTAGAATGCCTATGCTCTTTAGAAAATGCATTCGTACTAATACACATATTTTGGGGAGGGGTGGAAACTAGTTGTCTTTAGAAACTTAAAGTTGGCATTTTGCTTGCTGAGTTAGTCTTTTCTGTTTCTGTGTTTCTGCCTATGTGGAATAGTTAGCACCAAAGAATGGAGTTCCTTTCTTACTATCTTTAATTTTTGCCTCAAAAATTTTTCCCTTTCCTTCAAACTTGGCTTTCTTACATCTTTCCCTGATTATATGAGAGACTAAGTATATCAACAATTAATCACTCAAAAACAAGTGAATTTTTATATAAATCCCTGTTGTTTTTCTATTTTGGCTTTTAGCATTTGCCATCTCTTTTTGTGCTTAGAAATTACCTTAAGAGGGCCAGCAAAATAGCTCAGCAGATTAAGCTCCTACTTAGGCAACCACAGGGACTGGGTTCTGATCCCTGGCACCCCAGGCCACACCAGCCCTGCACCCAGGTGCACTGAGCCAGCCACCAAGACTGAGTGTGGTGGCGCATGTCTGTAATCCCAGTGCTGGGGATGCTGAAAACAGGAGGATCATTAGGAGTTCGAGCTGCATAGTGAAACCCTGTACCAAATACATTAAAAAAAAAAGAAAAGAAATTACCTTAAGACCTTTTTTTAGAATAAGGCCAGGAATCTATTAGAGGCAGAGGAAAACAAGTCAAGTCTGTGTAGTTCATCACACTAGATCATCATTTGATTTATATTTGTATCTATATCAAGGCGAAACTTAACTGTGAACTAAATTGATAAATATACTTTCTTGACTTAAATAGCTCAACTTTAACATAACTTGTGAAATCTTCTTTCTTCATTATAAGGCGTCAGCAAGTTGCCCCTAGGGCAGGTACACCAGGATTCAGAGCACCAGAGGTCTTGACAAAATGCCCCAATCAAACTACAGGTATGTTTGCCCCAGAAATACAGAATCTGATTCAAATGGTTTATCCCAAATAGATTTTTTCGGTTTTATTTTTGAAACAAGGTCTTACTATACCCCAGTTGGCCTTGAACTTGAGTAATTGATGCTCCTGCCTCACTTGCCAGAGTAATAGGATTATAGGTATGCACCACCATTTCTGGCTAAATTCATTTTATTTTATGATCTTTAGCTGTTTATGAGTAATATTTGACTTCTTCTATGTAAGCAATCCTAAGCAGTGCAGAAAACCCATTTTTGAGATGTTATTTTTTATGAAAATTTCTGATCCTAACATTGCTTCTTGTTTTGAAATAATTTTTTATACAGGAGTATTTTGCTCACGAGGTGATTTTGTTATTACTACTATCACTTATAGAGAAAAAATGCAGTTTTTAGTAGGTTTTAACCAATGTATACTCTTTCATCTGTTTACTTAATGCTTCAGTTTTTATGTTGTACACATATAATTATGTTTGGTTCAATTATTTTTTGTTAGTCTCGAAACAGTACAGCATTTAAAATATTTTGGACAAGACAAAGGTATTCCATAATCTAGAAGTTGTGAACCCTGGTAACATCTTATTGAATGAATAGATAAATCCTGCTGTTCACTTGGATTATAGGCTTTGAAGAAATACATTCATTCATTGTGTATCTGTTCTGTGCTTGCTAATGATGCAGAAATGAATGAGACCATCTGCTCACACTCTGGTTAAGATGTGTTCTCTGATAGTAATTATAGAATAACCTACTGAATATGGTAAAATTATACAGGGGATTTAAGAGATATCTGCTCTAACCCAGAGCTTATGAAAGGAAGTTCATGGAAAAGATGATCTCTGAGATAAGACTGTTAGTGGTGGTGGTAGATTAAGGCTTGAGCTGAGGAACTCAAACAACATGGTCTAGCCATACAGGAAACCGATTAATGTTTCTAGAATTTAAGATCCAACTTGAATGGTTAGAAATAAACATAAAAGGACATATACAGGTAAAGAATACTTGTTAAACAGTTTGGACTGTGTACTATAGAAAGCATTTCAAGAGGAAAACATCTTAGACTTGGTCTTTATGTAGGTCATGCTGGCAGGTATGCAGAGAGGATAGGTTTTTGAGGATGGTAAGCTGCAGTGGTCTAGGTAAGAGACAGTGAAGACATGAATAGGGACATTGGAGTGAATAGAAAGGCGAAAGGATTGGGAAGACCGAGTTTGTCAGGTTATAGAGTCTGGATGTGTGAGGTGGTGAGGGGAAAAAGACTTCTATGATGTTTACCAGATTGCTGGCTTGAGGAATTTTTATGTATGTAGGAGCCACAGAGGAAAGGAAGGGTCACTGGTTTATAGGGATATGTAAACTTGGGGTAGGACATCACTGGATTGAGATATTTCTGACACATCCAGCTAGAGATGCCCAGCACAATAAACATGACTGAAGCTCAGGGAAGAAGCTGGCTTAGTAATACAGTTGAGTGTTATCATTATGGAAATAGTAGCCAAAGCTGTGAAGTGAGTGGAATAAAAAGGATTTTTGGCTGTGATGAACATCAGCACTTATGGCTTGGAACAAAACATTGAAGGAACTGACTAAGGTACAAGTGGATCTAAGAAAGGCAAATGATCCTTGGCCAAGGGAGTAGAGAACAGTAACTTGGCAATGCTAGTTCACCAGTTAGGAAAAGCTGTCCCTAAAAGGGGGCAAAAGAGCTTTTCAAAATGAAGATGAGCTAATCTGTTTTTCTGGTTTGGATGGTGAAGTTGATTTTGGCACTGCTAGGATTGAACTCAGGCTTAATCTTAACTTCCAGAATTCAGGAGATGATTAAATCTTCTATAAAGATGTTAGCATCTGACTGAAGTAGAGCTTCTAATTTTCAGTACTTTACACTAAAACGAAAATAACTTTAACCTCTGGCTGTAGGTCTTAAGGAGTATCCAGATTATTTTCTCACATTTTTTTTTCTCTTACAAAATGTAGTTTGCTTAGAGTTTTCTGTTGGTGAAGTATCCTTTTAAATTTATCAAAACGTTCAAGAAAGAAAATACTGTGTTTTGTAAGGATGTTGAGTCACTAATCTTGACTGTGGTAAAATTACCTGAGGAACTTTTCAAAAATACATATTCCAGAACTATTTGATTATAATTTCTGAGAGATTGAGCCTGGGCATCTGAATTTTTTTAGACTTCCAAGATAATGTTAGTGTACAGTAAAAGTCAACTGTTTACGTAGATGATGAAATTATATATTTGGAATTTAAAGTTTGTTTTCTGTTACAGCGATTGACATGTGGTCTGCAGGCGTCATATTCCTTTCTCTGCTTAGTGGACGATACCCATTTTATAAAGCAAGTGATGATTTAACTGCTTTGGCTCAAATTATGACAATTCGAGGATCCAGGGAAACTATCCAGGCTGCTAAAACTTTCGGTAAGCAGTTTTATGTTGCAGAACAGAAGAAATGCTCTGATTATCTCCAACAAATCACTTAATAAATTACTTAAAATTTTTATTCACAAAGAAGTATTCATTGTTCATAAAGTTCTAATTTTAGGTAGGAAATTTTTCAATTGCTTAAAAATGTTTTATTCAGGTAAGAAAATATTATCCCATATATATATTTGTGTCATTTTACTAAATCCAAAATACTAAACTGCTCCAGTAAAGTTCAATTTCATGAATCTTTACTGTGATTTTACTTATATAAATGTTTTTAGTGATAAATTTAAATTTTTTGGTGTATATTAAACATCAGATTATCTGCCTGGTCTACGGCCATACCACCCTGAACGCGCCTGATCTCGGAAGCTAAGCAGGGTCGGGCCTGGTTAGTACTTGGATAGGAGATTATCTGCCTAATATTGAGAAAGTCTTTGCCTTAAATGATCTTAGTTTAACAAGTAAAGTTGGGCCGGGGAGATGGCTCAGTGGGATAACCGCTTCACTGGCAAGCACAAAGGCCTGAGTTCAATCCCCGGTTCCGCAAAAAAAAAAAAAAAAAAACAAGTAAAGTTAATTTTAATACAGTGTAATAAGCTCTACAGTGGGGAAGGGAATAGAAATGTGGGTTAGTGACTGTCAGATCCTTTTTTTTTTAATTTTATTTTTTCAAAACTTTTTAATGTATTTGGTACAGGGTCTCACTACACAGCTCGGACTTCTAGTGATCCTCCTGTCTCAGCCTTCCTAGCTCTGGGATTACAGGCATGCACTACCACACCTGGTCTTGGTCCCCACCTCAGCGTGCCTGGGTTGGGCCTTCATGGCATGTGGTACCAGGGACAGAACCTCGATCCTTGTACTTGACTAGGCAGGTGCTTAGACTGCTGGGCTATCTCCACAGCCCAGATGTCAGAGATTCTTTAGAGTTAGAGTAGCAGAGAAGTGAAAGGACTAGGACATCTTTCCTTTTTTTTTTTTTTTAACATTTATTTATTTATTTATTGTGTGTGTGTGTGTGTGTGTGTGTGTGTGTGTGTGTGTGGCCAGCTCAGCCCACCAGGGGGCGGGCTGGCTGGCATGTGGTGCTGGGGGATCGAACCGTGGTCCCTGTGCTTTGCCAAGCTTGTTCCAAGTAGGTGCTTTAGACCACTGAGCCATCTCGCCAGCCCCGACATCTTTCCTGATGGAGTATTATTTTAAATATATTTTAGATACAGCAAGTCTTCTCCTTAACCACGCAAGTTCTTCTGCTTCATAGGGCTTCTAAGAATTATCTCATTCTTGCTCTGTCCAACAACCTGAACTAAAATTAGTATTTTCCAAGGAATGGATGTAATGTGTCAGCTTGTATACATGGTGTGAGCAAATTTCAGTCAGCCTGTCCCGAGGATGACTGGGCCCAAATCCAGGATCAGTAGTCCTAATCAGAAATGCACATCAGAATTATCTGAGAAACTTCAAGAAATACACATACCTGCCCAACCCTACCCATTTCTGGAAAGTATGAATCAGAAAAATACGATACTTAGGAAGGCAGTAGCTTGTTCATTTGATGAGAGAAGTGCTACTCCTGGGTAAGCACTTCTGCAAAAATGATTTTATCCTTTGCTTAGGCACCAATGCCATCATCTAATTTGCAAGAAAAACTTAGTGGTAATTGTTATGAAAGTCACAGAATCCTGCCAAAAAATATTTCTGGAGTAAAGTATTTCTGCAGTAAAGGCTTTATGTGTCTTCTTCGTACTATGAGAAAACTTTGAGAAAAATAGGGCAAAATAATACAAGGGAAAAGTGACAGTGAGTGTAAAATGAGATGGTTATATTAAAATATTTATTATAATAAATGAAGATGTTTATTCTCAATTGAGAAAACTTTTAGCCACTGTTAAATAATTTTGAAAGATGCTTATGGACTTAGTTTATCAGACAGCACCAAAACATTTTGTTGAAGAGCTTGGGTCTTTTCTAGTGAAGGCAACAGTTACAGTGAAGGTGAGCAGTGGGAGAACAGAATCTGATAAAAGTACTCCAAACTGGGAGCCTTGACGGGGCAGGGGCTTCTGCCGTTATAATGCTTGTTTTCATATTGTAAAAATAGTCATACTGTATAGCACCTGTCTTGGTGTTTTAGTGCAGTAGTACAGGACAGTACTAAAACCTGAAAATTTCAGCATATACAGCTGTGTTCCCTTACATAACATAAAGAAATGTCTCGTCTGGGGTTAGCAGTGGGAGTACTTCTACTTCCCCTGTGTGTAATCTACTCTGCTGTCTTTACCCTTAGACCTTTCCCCACTGTGGGTCATTAAATTCTCTATGAATTTTACTGAATAAACTCAAAAGAAAACCAAGAACTAAAAAAAATTTTAAAATTGACATAGTCTATAATGAGATATAATTTGATCAATAGTATTTATTTAGATTCTTTTCCCTAAATATTTTGAATATATGCTCTTCTTTGATCATGCATAAAAATAACATAGCATATTATATAGCTTGGGACATGCATAACACATATGGCTAATTATTTCATGATTTCAGAATAGCCTAGTAAATTAAGGATTAAACTATCTGACTCTTCTCTGGATACACTGTCCTAGAGTTAATAGAATGATAGATTTAAAAGTGAAAAAGAATTGGCAGCTGTATCCTCACCCAGATTGTAGTTATTTGTTTCCATTGTTTTCACCTGTCCATCCCCCTTCCCCTGTTTTCCTGCCTCGGTATACCAGCTCAGTGGTTAGAGCAGGTAAAGGTACCTTTTTACTACCTAGATCATTTTGTTGATAATCTCAGTACTCCAAAAATAAATCTAAATATTCTACTCCTTGCTTAGAGGCATGTTTCCATTAAATAAGGAAATGCAAGGCAAAAATAGTACATATTTGCCTAGTTGTATGTTTGTAGAGTTTTTTCCCACTGTGTCAGATAATAAGTTCATGGGGAAGATACTTAAAAACACAAAACAAGGTCTGGTTTGAATATGAACTCATTCAGAAACATTGTTAGGGCTTTAGGTAAACTAGGTACTATTGTGAATCTCTGATTTTGTAGAACTAAATTCTGATGAGAATTTAGTAAAGAAAGTAAATACATTAAGTCCTTGATTTATGAAGATTTAGGTTGTGAACTTTCACAGGTGTACTGTATAAACTCAGTTTGCTTACAAACAACTCCAGATTATGACCATTCAGGAATGAAACTCATTCATAAGTCACTGACTTACTATATTTACTGTCAGAAAGGGATGCTATTATGAAAGACAAAAGGAGAAAAGGAATGAAGAGGGCACAGCTATTTAGGATAGATTGGCCAAGAACACAGTTGCTCTAAAAATATGACATTTAAACAGAGTCACTCAAATGAATAATGCTTTTTCTTCAGTCCAACAGACATTAACTGAAAACCCAGTGTGTGCCAGACATTGTGTGTTTCAGTGTTCAAAGATAAATAAAACTTTCTACCTTCAAAGAGCTCGGTCTCAGGAGATGGACATATGTTTATTAGTTACAGTACAGGAGGAGAACAGAAGTAATAAAACTCTCCGCAGTGGGTGACAGAAGCTTGAAATACTCCATCCTCTTGTGAGACCTTACAGAAGTGGAACTTTTGTTTGTTTGTTTTTTGGAGACAGGGTCTCACTACACAGTTCAGACTGGCCTTGGGCTCACTTTGTAGCCCAGCCTCATCTTGAACTCACAGCAGTCCTCCTGCCTCAGCCTCCTGAGTGCTGGGATTAGAGGCATGTGCCATCCCGCCCAGCTCACAGGTGATTTTTTTTTTGTTTTGTTTTGTTTTTTTGTTTTATTTTAGGGAAGGATCTACAGGGTGTTCAGGGTCTCACTACTAGATCAGACTCGTAGTGATCTCCTGTTTACAGCCTCCCAAGAGCTGGGATTACAGGCAGTGCACCACCATGCCCAGTCTTAATTGCTGTCTCAGCTTGCCCTAGGGGTGGGGCCAGTGCACCAAGCCCGGGGATCAAACCCCCAGTTCTTGTACCTGCCTGCAGGCACTTTAATCCACTGAGCTATTTGCCCGGTCCTCACATGTGATTTTTGACCAAAATGCCCATAAATCTTAGGCACATGAGGGGTGTGGCGCATCCTGGACCATTGTGATCAAAGGCATGGAGTTTGGAAATGGGGTGAAGTGTGGTAACCTCAGCTGGTTAAAGATTACAGAAGATTAAAATGAAGCTGAAAAAGTTGACAGTCAAGTGAATTCCTGGTTACTGTTTTCTACTTCAACCTTTTGATTTGGTTTCAACTGTATAGTTCACATACAATTTAAAAGTAGTATGTAGGGTTCAGAGATAGCTCAGCAGCATAAGCACCTGCCTCGTAAGCACAAGGTGCCAAGTTTGATTTCTGATTCAAAAAAATAAAACCAAGTAGTATGTGGTCTAGCTCATACTCTGTGTATCTCTGTAAAAATATATGACTGGACTTGCATGATTCTCATGAAGGATGTTTCTGCTACATTTAAGTAATAATAATGTTACTTTTTTTTTTTTTTTTTTTTTTTTTAGGCAAATCAATACTGTGTAGCAAAGAAGTCCCAGCTCAAGATTTGAGGAAACTCTGTGAAAGACTCAGGAGTCTAGACTCTCACACTCCCAAATTAGCAAGTGGTCTCCAAGGATGTCCTTCTCATGATTCAGCTTTTTCAGAGAAGACTGACCATAAAGCTTCTTCCACCATACAAAGATCGCAAGCACGGCCCTCAAGAGATTCATTATGTAAAGGAGATTATAATGGGTGGGAGAATCATTTTGATGAGAGTAAGACCAATTTAGAAGGCTGGGATGAGGTACCTGATGAAGCTTATGATCTTCTCGATAAGCTTCTAGACCTAAATCCAGCTTCAAGAATAACAGCTGAAGAAGCCTTAGTGCATCCATTTTTTAAAGATATCAGCTCATGATGTTTCTTCATTTCCTGTTATTATCGTATATTGTGAGGCCGAGTGAGACAGTCCTTTGTAGTACCAAAAGTCCTTATTGAAAGAATAAGGAAGGGTGAATATTTTAAAATTTAAGTATTTGTTTTGGTGGCAGATTGTAAGATACAGATTAAAATCACTTAAAATGCCTCAAAGAGTTACTTGACCTACTACATGATCTTTGAGTTGAACCTAATGAAGTACAATCAGATCTTTAGTTACCTTTCCCTGCCATGAGCAAAAGGGAACAGTTTTACCTAGGTCATGAGATTAATGGATGTGACAGGGAGTAAATGAATCAGAAAACTTTGTTTCCTACTGCCTTAAGACCATGAGTGTTATATCCTTTGGGAAACTTCATCCTGGTGCTAGCACTCTCAAAATTTATTTTAGGTAAAGAAATACTATCTTCTTCTGGAGATACACATTATACCTTTTATATGCACTGAGGAAATGTTCATGGGGCAGAATATCACAATCGCACTTAATTTAGCCATTTTAAAATATTTTATGAAGTCCTTTTCTGCATTAACTGTGGTGTTTTCTTGGTGTTTCTTCCTCTGTCCCTAACACATTCTCCTTGGAAATGATATGGTACCACAAAATTCTGGGTGCTTTACAAAGTGTAATGTGTTTACAGTTGGGAATGTGAAGTAACATGCACACTAGTTGATAAGGGAAAGCTTTCAGAACCAAGGTGAATATTGATAGTCCAAAGTGCTTTTTCTATTATTTATGTTTCCCCACAGCATCTTACTTACAATTAGATAACTGCTAACGGGAAAAGTAAACATAGAATTGAGAATTTTACTGAAGATATTTTTCTCTACCTAGAGCCATTCAGATTTCCACAGCTCTTTTCACTTAAGTAGATTGGGAAGACATCAATAAAGGTTGCAAAGTAGCAAAGGACCTAGTATAGAGGTTTATGTTATTCACATTCCCAAATGACCCATGACAGTATATCACACTTCCTATGGAAAATAAATCTGGGAGAAATTTCCCATTTAGTAGTTATAGATACAATTTAGGACCAAACATTCACTTTGTTATTTTGAGCATTGGTATGTCAGAATGCCTAATGTTTGGCAAATGTAGTATTGTGTGTGTGTGTGTGTGTGTGTGTGTGCCATTGCCCTTGATTTGATGTCTTACGTCTTATGCTATAAAAAAATTTTAATGTCCTTGAGTTTGTATGTTTAATAAAATTATCCCTTTATATTTTTATGTCAGACTATTCATTTACAAAACAATAGTTTAGCCAGAAGTACTGTTGTACACCTGTAATTCCAGCTACTGAGGAGACTGGGGCAACAGGATACCAAGTTTGAGGTTGGCCTGGGCAACTTAGACTGCCTCAAAGTTTAAAAAAGGGCTGGGAAATGGAGTTCAGTGACCACAGCTCTGGTTTTGATCCCAGGTGTGTGCTGGCGTTTGTAGTCCTAACTATGTGGGAGGCTAAGGCAAGAGCATCATATTAATGATTCCTTCTTTTTCAGCAAATTGATAAAAGGTAATATAAACTGTTTTAGTAATAAATGGCTTGGTCACACAAAAGTAACATAAAGGAAGATCTGGCTGTAGAAGAGATGGTCATTGTCTTCATTTATAGAATATTTGTCCTAGACAGAATAAATCATTTCAGTGATTTGAAATGAAAACGAAATGCTTTATTTAGTCAGCTGGAAGTTTTGATTCACAAGTTACCATAAATTAAAAGGAAAATTTTACCAGTTGTATTGGGAGAGGGAGACTTTTCTCTCAGGAAGTCTCAAACTCAATCCTGCCCATATTAACTTTCTGTTAGGATGGAGCTTGGTTAATATGCAAGATGGGAGATGAGTGGAGCGGTTGTTTTAAAAGGTGGTGGTAGGGCCCAGGAGATAATTCGGTGGCATAAGCGCTTGCTGGACAAGTGCAGGGTCCTGAATTCATTACCAAAACAAATCCTAAACTAAAAGAGTGCTGTCTTAGGAGTCAGTTCCTGGGCAGTTGTAATCCTACTGAGAGCATTAGTACAATTTTAGGACAGATTTCTCAATGTGCTTCATCAAAATTAGCAAGAATACATATTCTTGAGATTTTTAGGCTTTTAGAATACAATTTTATAATAGATACCTCCCTAAATTATTTAGCCGAAACAGTCACTTCCCAAGAAAGACTAAGGTGGTAACTAGTGAGTGCTATTTCCAGTTATAATGGAAGTTCCTGGAATATTCAGCTATTTTTCATTGTCAGCCGTTTAAAATTCCTATTGCTCAGGCTCTTGAGATAAAATTGTTAAGGGTATTTTCATTAAATATGCCATAGACATTTAGTACTATTAATATAACAAGCTGCAACTGTTGATTTTTCAAGAGGCTGCAGCTCTGTAGCATTTGTAATGAAACTTTTCCTTAAAAGGAGATGATTATGGTTGTCTTAATGACCTAAATACAAATATGCCTCAAGAATGGTTATTCCAAAGAATTAAGTTTATTTCAAAATCAGAACAGAAGTCATGAAGTAATGTTAATTGTTTCATTTCTGGCACCACTATTTTAGGGACAAAATTGTGTAACATGTCATAATATTGATTGCAAAACAATCTTGAAACCCACAAAAGTTGTAGGCTTAGGTCTTAGTAATGTCTGTTGTTTATGTGTTTCAACCCTCCACGTCACTGAGAAGTTATTTATCCTAAGAAACTAGCCAAATTTGGCGGGTAATGCTGTCTGCCAGTGTCTGCAGATGTACTGTTTCTGCCTACATTGGTGCACTGTATGTGGTCTGTAAGAACACTATCTTAACCCCAGACAGTAATTTCAATTCACTCTTCAGACTTTTTTCCTATATTTTAACAACTGATGTTTTGTTTCTTTTCTTTCTTGCTTTTTTAAAAAAATTTATTTATGTATTTGGTACAGGGTCTCGCTATGCACCTTAGACTCGTAGCAATCTTCCTGTCTCAACCTCCCCAGCTCTAGGATTACAGGTGTGTGCCACCACGCTCAGACTTGATCACCAGCTCAGCATGCCCTGGAGGTGGGGCCGGTGCTGGGGATTGAACCCTGTCCCTGCACTTGCCGAATCAGGTGCTTAGTCCACTGAGCTATCTTGCTGGCCAGCTGTTTCTTAATTTTATCAAGTTAATGTGTTGAAACTGTCTTCCTTGAAGGGGAGACATTATCAACTATATACCAGAGGAGTAATCAGAAGTAAAGTAAAGCTCAATGAAATTAAGGAAACGTTTTTGACAAAGTAACCACAAAAAGTGTTAATGTGTTTAGTAAATGATGTTTTAGACAGGTAAAGTGGAAAAGCATCATCTTGGGGCAGTCATAGTAAATTGAGTGAAAAAATAAAAAGTTCGGAAAAGAATTTAAATTTTTTAAAAAATGTATTTGTACAGGTGCTCACTACTCAGCTCAGACTTGTAGTGATCCCCCTGTTTTCAGCCTCCCCAGCACCGGGATTACAGGTGTGCGCCACCATGCCCAGACTTGGTCACTGGCTCAGCGTAGCATCCGGGACCAGGGATTGAGCCTTGGTATCTACGTTTACCAAAGCAGACTCCTAGTCCACTGGAGCTCTCTCACCAGCCCAAGAATTTTAATTTTTGAGGTTAATTCTTTTTTAATAATTTTACTGAGAAACAAATAGCAATGAAGCAGTTTCAAAACCAATTACTAGCATAGTTTCAATAATTAATACATTGCATATTGTTGTCTTAGTGGTTATTCATTGTACAAGATGCAGACATGATATCCTGTCCACAAACACTATTAGAACAAATCTCTCTATTCAATGAATTAAGAGAAAGCAGCTGTATATCCTAGCTTTTGAATACACAGATACAAAATGGTCATTCATTTGTATTCCCCCTTTTTTGTTTAGATTTGTCAGAGAAGGGTATTCCATTGTCACTTAAATATTGTAGGTGCATGAATTCAGCAAAATATTCCAATATAGTCCAGTAGTCCATAATAGTGGGTTATCTGTAGGACTGGCAATGTCAGAAGTTACTGACTTGAGCCTTTTACAGCTCAGCATATTAATATGGCTTTACACTTTTATACTTCATTTT